GTATAAATATATGAACCTCTATCTGTTTACCAACCTACCTATCAAAGTGAGAGTCTAGCAGAACTTTGAAAATGGACAAGCATGCTTTAGGGCAGTGTTTCTCAACCTTGGCAACTTTAAGATGTGTGGACTTCAACTCCCAGAATTCCCCAGCCAGCATGCTGGCTGGGGAATTCTGGGAGTTGAAGTCCACACATCTTAAAGTTGCCACGGTTGAGAAACACTGCTTTAGTGTAAGCATTTGTAGGCAAATGCTATAATTTGTGGCTTTGACATTAGACTATTACAGCATTTGCCTACAAATGCTTACACTAAAGCAGTGTTTCTCAACCTTGGCAACTTTAAGATGTGTGGACTTCAACTCCCAGAATTGCATGCTGGCTGGGGAATTCTGGGAGTTGAAGTCCATGCATCTTAAAGTTGCCACGGTTGAGAAACACTGCTTTAGTGTAAGCATTTGTAGGCAAATGCCTACTTCATTTGATGCATGAGCTAGATATTGAATATATTAGTGCAATAGTGGTGATAACCCTACAATGCAAGTTCATATGCCATCTGCACAATTGAAATAAAGTGACGTTCTAGTTATTTATCTACAATATTTCTATACCACCCCAAGCTAGTAATTCTTGGCAGTGTGAGAGAATCAAGAAGCTCTTACGGACAATCAGCTTTTCCTTGCTCCTGAACATTTGTATGGTACCACCTTTAATAATAAGGTATTGCTAGTAAACCAACCTTGGTCTCAATTCTTGTCAGTTGAAAGTGTGTCAGATCTGTCAATGGATGGGAATTAATCTTTTAGACGTCACAAGAACCATTGTTACAGTAGATTAATAAAGTGTTCATCTGTTGTTTTTTTTAAAGGTCTTCTTTCTCCTGAGAGCTTGCTAGCTGGAGATGTTGATGAAAATTATTGTGTAAAATACTTGGGAAGGTGGTAACTTATCTCAGGTTTTACCCCCCCAGCTGAAATATATGTAAATGACATTTCATCAGCATTTAAAATATGAGCGTTGTAAGCCAATATTTTATGATAGGCATTCAAATATGAGTGTTATCTAGTTCTGGCATCACATTTCAGTTTTTTAGGAATGGTCTCAGAGGTAGTCAAACGTCCCTTTGTAGATTGCCAGAAAAAAAAACATATGGAAATACATGATCTCTTCCAAAAGACAAAGAGTATTATGTAATAAAATTTTATTTTATTTGCATAGCATTTGCATAAGCAGGTTTGCATATATTTATGCCTATTTCAATATAATTGTTTTAAATTAAGATATGATGCATATCTTAGAAAGCTAGTTTGGTCTAGCGGTTAAGGCTCTAGGCTAGAAAGCAAGAGACTGTTCTGGTCCCTCCTGAGGCATGAAAGCCGGCTGGGTGACTTTGGGCCAGTCACTCTCAGTCCACAACATCAGGCTCGGGTGACAAGCTGGTCAGTCAATTCCTGTCGCAACCAATGGATCAACATTCAATTGATCCAAAAAAAGCGGATACTGCACTGGCAGGCAGGCAGGCAGG